GCGGCCGTGGCGGCGCTCGGTGTGCCCGGGCTCCGAGGCGCCGGGGCAGGGAATCATGCGGGGCACAATGGTGAGCAGCCCGGGGCTGCTGCTTCTCGCCCCTCGGCAGGCGGACTCCGAGCCGCAGCTGCCCCGGGCCAGCAGCAGCCGGCAGCTCGCAGGCGCTCTCAGCGCCCGGCCCGGCACGGAGCTGGGCTGCAGCGGCTGCAGAGCCACAGGGGCCGCGGCTGCGGCCACCGCAGAGCTCCCGCAGGCTGCGCTTGTCTCCGCACCTGCTGCCGCACCTCTGGGCAGCGGCGACAGCGCAGCCACAGCTGCCACCGCCCTCCTGAGCCCCCGCACGGCCGGCACCAGCAGCGACCTCTCACCGTGTCCCTTTCAGGGTGCCATCAGCGCGGCTGCAAAGCTGTTCCCGAGGCCGAGCCCTGAAAGGATTTGTCAGCACTCCTGATGTCTCGGGAGCAAAGTGCTACTTGATCCAGGTGAAGAGATGCTGGCTGTGAGCAGAAGAGTGAATCCATGGAGTCCATGACTAGAGTTGCGAATGGGCCCCAGCATCTCCAGGAGGGACCAGCAGCCGCGGTTCCACACTTCCCTGGGGCCCAAGAAACCTCTTGCCATAAGCAGGGGGATGGCACTTGTGAGCGTGCCGTGAGTGCAGATGTGGAGAATGGATTCTGCACCAGGGATGGGAATGTGAGGGAGCCCCTGGCTCCCCAGGGCACAGCAGCAACGGGCAATGAACACAAAAAAATCTTCTCAGTATTCCTGGGTGAGTGCAGGGCCACCCCTGTGCCCTCCCGGCAGGGGCCCATGTCCCCTCCCGAGGGCAGGGCTGGCAGGTGTGTGGCTGTTTCCCGATGTCTGGAAGAGGCCTCGTGCTCTGCTGGGCCCCATCCGTGGCTGGAAGCAAGAGCCCCAGCTGCCCCCAAGGCTGTGCAGTTCTCCTGCTGCAGTCTGTGCCCACAGCTGTGTCCCTGCCTGTGGCCAGGCTCTTGGCTCTCTGGCTGCCAGCTGAGGGAGGCCCACACTGCCTCAGGGCTCCCTGCTCTGCTCCCTGGCCATGGGCTGAGCAGATTGCAGGGCCGGCTCTGCTTCTGGCAGCCAGCAGCTCTTTCCTGCTCCAGGTGAATGGTTCAGGTGCCATCCCGTGGGCACGGCGGTGCTGATTCTGCTGCTCCTGGTGCTGGTGCTGGCTTTGGGGGCGGCCTTGGCTGTGCTGGCAGGTAAGGGAGGGGCAGCAGCCTGGGCCCAGCCCCTCGGGGCAGAGCGGGCTCCCTGCTCCCTGCACAGGGGAATCCTCAGAGCTTCTCCTCTTCCCCCTGCAGCACCACAGCTTCCAGTCACACCTGCGACTCCACAGTGTGTTCTGGGTTGTCCCTTGGACTGGATTGGGCACAAGGGGGTCTGCTACCACTTGTCACGGGATTACAGCACATGGGAACGGGGTCAGGAACGGTGCTCCGAGCTCAATGCCTCCCTGGCCATTGCCCCGGACGAGGAGGCCATGGTGAGTGAGGGGCTGCGGGCTGTGTGGGGTGGCTGAGGGCAGCCTGGGGGCGCTCCTGGGCCGGGCTCGGTGCTCGCAGGGCCGGGGCTGCAGCCCTGGGCCGGGGCCTTGCAGGGAAGGAGCCCCGGCGTGCGGGGGCAGCCCCGGGCACGTGTCCCCCCGAGGGGCCGGGGCAGCTCCCACTCCTCTCTCCTGGGCAGGATTTGCTCTTCCGCCTCCGCGGGAACGGCGATTTCTGGCTCGGGCTGCGCAGACGGGGCGAGCGCCTGCACTGGGGGGACGGCAGCAGCTACAGCTCCCGGTGAGTGCCGGGGAGCCGGGCAGGGCCTGCGGGCACAGGGGCACAAGGGCTTCCCCTGGTATCTTGGTTTGGCAAGACAGGTGTCTGTTAAGAAAGGCAGGAGCCTTCCCTGAAATGGCAAATGCAAACACCCCTCCCTTTGAATTATTATAATTTTGAAATGAAAAGGCTCTCCGGCAAAGACATGGGAATAGGAATAACAGTTCTTGACTAGAAGAACTAAAAATACAAATGTAATCAAAAAGCTAAAAAGACCCCTACTTGTGTGGTGTTCCAAACCTCAGATTCTATGCAGGTAGGAAAGCTTGGCTGCTCCCTCTGGGTGGAGCATCTCACAGTGGGATGATGGAATTTTATCAGCCATGCAGCAACATTCACTTGCCCATTAACAGAATATATTTCCTGGAGGGAGGATTGATTATGGAAGAGATAAAGAAAACTGCCCATTTAACAGAAGATAACTGCTCCTCCTCTAACAGATGGGAATAAAAAACCCTGTTTCCAACCTAAGGCACCGGGTAACCAGCTCCTCCCTGCAGGGTTCCTGTCTTTGGCAATTCCGAGTGTGTGTACCTGTCTGATGAGAGATTCAGGAGTAACAACTGCTCCCATGAGCGGCCGTATGTCTGCAGCAAGGCCCAAGCTCCCCTGTAGCAGGGGCTGCACAAAGGACCTTCTCCACGCTGGGCAGTGCCAGCTTCACCTCTGAGCCCAGCACAGCGCTGTCCTTCCTCAGCTGCGCCCTGTGCCTTGCACTTCCTCTCAGGGTCACCTCAGTGCCTCTGCATCCCCAGTGCCAGCGCTGGGCTGGGGCTGCAAAGGAAAAGTCTCTGCAATCCATCCTGGCACCGATGCTGCCTGCAGTGAGTGCGGTGCCCTCATATGTGGGTAACACGGCACTCTGCTTAAAATGTTTATGGAAGTTTATTAAGGGATAAAATCCCACATTTGTTTGCTTGTCGCTTTGCACACCAAAAACTTGAACAGTGTTCTGTATGTACTGTTTCATTACGAACCTTTATGCATATTTATGACCGTTTATACATGTTGAAACATTCATTTTAGTTAACATGTTCTTTTGCTTGGTTTGAACCTTTGACTTGTCTTCGTTCCATCTTCTCAATTAAATGAATATATTTTATTTTTTGTTGTGGTTCTATATTGTATTTTCACTCCCTGATAACAAGGGTCTATACAATCTTTTTTTTTTTTGATTCTCTGGTTTCCCTTTCTATGATCTTGTCTTTTAGATAAGACAGTTCCCAAAGTTGGCAAGTCAATTTTTTTACACCATTTGCAGCATTAGTTACTTGAAAAAGTAATTTCAACATTTCACAGTCTCTATTAAGCTATGGTCTAAGATAGAATACATGACACCACTATTTATAAGAGCCATAGGGTGCATAGATAAACTGACAGATTACACTATATCAAAATCAGTAATTACAAATTGCACTGTATCAGGATTTTGTGATCAATAGTAACTCGCAACACAAAACTTAGTACATAAATGCAAAAGCCAATACCTATATTTTCTTATTTCTAATATCACACAACAAACTCGACTGGGAAATCCAAATCACTCTGGGCTTTTGGAAATCATCACAAACTGGCCTGAAGGCGAGAAATTTGGACTGTCTGTGGATGATGTGAGAAAGGACCTTCACTTTTAAAATTTTAATGGTTAATTAAACCTTAACAAAAAATACAACAACAGAATGAATAAGGAAAAATTACAGCACTGAGAATCTCTGTGACTGTCAGCCACGGGCTCGTTTACAAAGCGGATGCTCTGCCTTTTATACCCTCAGCCCCTCCCAAAGCTTTGTCAGTCAGCTCCTTCTGGAGGGAGGGAACCAGGGATCAAGTGAAGCCCAGGAAGGAGAGAACAGTGTGGAGAAGGTGCATTTTTAGGATTTGGTGTACATCTCATTCCCTTGCTCTGATTTGTTTGATAATAAATTTAATTAAATTTAATTTCCCCAGTCCAGGCCTCTTCTGCCCACAATGGGTAAGAGATCTCTGGCTGCCTTTCTTGAGAGCCCTGAGCCTTTCCTGCTGTGTTCTGTTGCCTGCCCAGGGGCAGGAGCAGAGGCTCAGAGCTGGCCGCGGGCACCTGGCCTGGCCCAGCCCAGCCCCAGAATCCCTGCCAGCATTCCCTGCACCATTACCCGGCCCCACGGCGGCTGCAGCTCCGCGGGCAGGCGGCTCCAGGAGTTCAGAGTGGGCAAAATGGGAGCGAGGGACAGGAGGCAGCTGGTGCCAGTGGGGGAAATGGCTTTGCTGCAGCTGGCAGGGAGAGGAGGAGGAGGGAGAGAGTGCTGCAAAGTAAAGGTGGGAGAAAGAGGGACAAGGTGGCGGGGATGGCCATGGGGCAGGCGGGCATTTTGCTTTCCAGTTGCGTGCGAGGAAAGGAAGAGCTGTCAAATCCATGGAACAAAAGAGGCGAGCAGTAGAAGGTGGTGGAAATCTCTGACACGTGGGATTCATTTGATCTGCCTGAATTGCAAAAGCCAACAGTCTCTGAGCACCACCAGCGTTGTGATGTGCCTTGCCCTGCCCCTGCCCTGCCTGCAGCAGCCGCCTGTTGGGACGGGCCCTGTTCTCTAAAGGAGCTGCACCCAGGGACCATTGGGGCAGTGCTCGGTATGAAATGAGGAATAGGAAAGGGTGGGAAGTGTGAAGGGAATAAAATAGAATGGTATAAGAGAAAATGATAACAGAACTGCACCAGGAATGGCCACCGACCGCTGTCACTAACAGAGCTGCACTGGGGCACGGCCACACGTTTCCGTTCCCACACGGAAATGCTGGGACTTGCCTTCTCCTCAATAACCATCAGTGACATTTCCAAGGCCAGCAGGTACACTCAGAGATGTCCAGAATCATCATTACACTGGGAAAATGGGGTTGGCATCAGCTGTGACAAACACCAGGAAGAGCACAGCAGCAGAAATAGGGATTTCCCAGCTCCCTCCCAGGGAGAACAGTATCAGCACAGGGACAGAAAATGCTGATAGAACATCCTTTCCCACTGCTCCCTGTGCTCAGCTGGAGGTAGCATCCTTTAGCTTGTGCTCTTCAGTGGGTTTACCCATGGAAATATTGCAGAGGGACGCAGAAGATTTACTAGCATGTTAAAAAGAAGCTGAAAAGCCAGGAAGGATGACATTTGGGATAGGGACACAAGCAAATTCACACATCATACAGTCAAATATGGCTGCTGTGAGTATGCAGCATGGAGGACAGCTAGATTAAACTAGAATATATTCCAAAACTATTTGGCCTTAAAACTGCAGGTAAGGTTAATAACCCTCACCAAATAAAAAAAAAAAGGAAATCTGCTCAGAACTAATTTGGATCACCCTCCCTGCAGCCACTGGGTATCACGACTCCTTTTCCCCACTAACTCCAAAGGCTTTCCTGGAAATCTCTCATTTTCTGCTTCCTCCCTGTAACAGTGCTCAAGTGACCTGTGTGATGTCTCTGAATGAACTGAGCTTTCCCTTCACAGCAGCTCTGCTCTTCACTTGCCAGCCTCGTGCCCTTGGCCATTTCCATCTGGCAGCGTTGCCCTGCTGAAGGAGAGGCTCTGTTCCAAACATGCCCCTTTGCAGCAGTGCCCCACGATGGGATGTTCTCCTGCCTGCACTAATCCCTTTGCTTCTCAGCTCCAGCTGCAGCCCACAAACCTGGCACTTGTTCAGGAGCCTTTGCCATGGCACGGCCCCACCCAGCTGATTGCCAGCCTGGCAGCACGGTGGGCACACATTCCCAGCCCTGGCCGTTGTTTCCATCCCGCTGCAAGGAGCCCAGTTGTTCCCCAGTGTTCCTGCAGGAATCCAGGCCCAGGTGTCTGTGGGGTTTGCAGGGGCTCTCTTGGGGGTACCTGGGGGTGTCTGTGGCATTGGGGAGGGGGCCTGAGCTCTGGGGGTGTCTCTGGGACTCCTGCTCTTTTCCCCTCATATTTCCCATCCTTTTTCCTCTCATGTTTCGCACCCTTTTCTCCTCACCTTTATAGAGCTTTCTTGCTTCCTAAATGCCACCTTTACACTATTTTGCAGTCTTCATTTTTTTAACTCTTCCCCCCTTTCCCTGCTGCTCTTTCCCCCTTATTTTTGCTGCCTGTTTTCCTGTTTTTTTCTGCCCTTCCCCCCCTGTTTTTTGCTGCTTTTTTTCCCCAATTTTTGCCCCTTTTTTCCCCCTCCATTTTTTTCTTCTGCCCTTTTTTTGCCACCTGTTTTTGAGACCTTCTTTTCCACCCCTTTTCTACCAAATTTTTTTCCACCTTTTTTTTTGCTGACCTTTTGTGCCTCTTTTTATCCAGCCTTTGTGGCCCCTCGATATAAATCCCTCAAAGGAATCAGTGGGGGTTTCTACCAATTTCAACCCTAAAAATAAGGCACAACAGAGATTCCTTGTCAATTTAAAGATGATGAAAATTGAAGGTTTTATCTCATTTCCAACCTATAAAATCCCATCACAAAGGGTGTTCCCTGATCTATTTCAGTAAAAAAATGGGGATTCCCCATCCATTGATAGCCCTGAAATAATGGCCAAGGCAGGGTTCCTTTCCATTGATCCCCTCAGCATTGCAGGTGAATGGGGATTCCCCCAGTTGAAACACAGACAACAAGGGAAAATTAACCAGTTAAACAACTCCAGAATACACTTGGACAGAAATCCATTGAAAGGGAACCACACACCACTTGTCTTCCCTAATTAATTCCATCAGGCTTCCTTCACTAAAAACACTCTCAGAATTAAAAGTGGAGATGCCTGGTGTGTTACCTCAAAGCAGAGGAAGAGGCAGCATGGAAATGCTTCTTCTGCCATGGCAAACTCTCCTGGGAGCACTCCCAGAGCCTTGCAGGGCTCCCCTGGGAAGCTGCTGAACAAATGGAAAGAGTTGGGATGAGCAGAGCCCCAGAGAAATCCCGGTGCCACTGATGGAAAAGTCAGATTATCCAAGCAGCAACAGCAGCTGGAGTGTCTGCAAAAGAGCAGCTTTGTTCTGAACCCAGCTTAGGAGTTCTCCTCATGCACTAAGGGAGCCCTTCCATCTATTTGGACCTTTTCTATAGCACAGGCCACACAGCAGTTCAATGGGATCATGTTCTTCAACTCAATTATGTTTTAAGGTATCTAAACTTGATCTAGCTACTCATCAGTAGAGAATTTTATGTATTTTCAGAGTAAATTACCTTCCCTGGTCAAACACCAACCCTTCCCAAGGTTCAAGTACCTCTGTTTTCCACCACTAACTGCTCATTATTCTTGTCTCAATTAAAAACCCTCTGTTAACCCCATTTTTCCACCACAGATTTGTCTGAGTCTCTCTCACCTCTCAGCAGTCCAAATTCCTTGAAATTTAGCAGAACCTTCTTCACACTTCCCAGCTCTTGCTGTCCATCTCTAATCCCTGTCCAACCTGCCAGTGCTCTCCCTGAACTGCTGACAAAGTGAATTACACAACATCAGTGCAGGACAACTCATTAATTGCTGAATGAAAATGAAATAAAGAGAAATTAAGAAGCTGATTTGGACCCAGCAGGACTGCATTGCTGGTGTTTGTGTATCAAGAATTTCTATGTTTTTTATTGCAAATTTAACTTGTTGAAACTAAAGTAGTCATATTTAGAAAAGATTTTTCATTCCACATGAAAGCAACATGCCTTCCAGCCACATTTGCACTGAAAAAACCCCAAACTGCTCAGCCTGGGCTCACATCATGCCAGCAGTAGCTGTATATCAACATTCAGCAATAATGGAATTCATTCAGAAAATGAACAATTACAAAAACACTTTTACTCCAAGAACTGAGGAAGTTATGCATATCTTCAAAAAATTCAGTAATCAAGTTGTATTTGTGTTTTTATTGAAATAAAATTAAAAAATTCTTCTGGCCCATATTTACAAATTTCATCCAATTACTCTTCCTGCAGTGTGGTATTTCCCCACCTACACCTGAAGGCAGCAGCATTTTCAGAACAAGAACTGCTCCCCAGATATTGAACCCACTCAGCAATGAGTAATAGGACATTTTAGAAATGTGGCAAATTGGATCACTGAAAGGAAAAATGGGAGAGGGGTTTTGTAATAAAAGAAAACATCATTTGAGTCATGCATTCGACATCATTTTTCAGTTTTCTGAAATTGCGCTAGCACTGGGAAAATCTCATTTCCACCCAAGACAGTGTGCAAACAGAGGCTTTTGCAGGTAAATTCACTCTGCTGAAGTGACACATAATGAACAGAATGCTCCAAATTCAAACCTTTGGCCTCTTCTCCCACATCCTGCTCGTGTGTCTGTGCTCCATCTCCCCAGCAGCCATGCCTTGTGCCAAGGCTCTCCCTGCCTTGCTCAGCTGCCAGGGAGCTCTGTGCTCTCAGGTAAATTCACCCCCAGGCTCTGTAAAATGCTCGAGGTGGGTCCTGCCAGGCCAGCCTGGGCACTGTAGGACTCGAGCAGGTTTGCCACCAGGTTCATGTCCACATCCAGGGCTGCCAGCTCAGCAGCCTCAGCTCCACAGTCAGGGCCAGCACTCTCACATGGGGCTGCTCCAACAGAACCTGCCTGCAGGGAGTACAAAGGGAAAGCTTTATCAAATTGCAGGAGCAGATTTAAGGAGAATAAAAGGGAAAATCACAGGAGAAAAGAAACAGCAACTGTGCAGCCAACAAAGTCCAGTACACTCCTGAGTCCTGACAGACAGGAATTCAGACACCAAATGCTCATGCCAGCTGAAAATCACCACTGTCCATTACCCAGATTAGGTTCCAAGAGAAGGACACAAAGTGTTGCTGAGTCCTGGCTCAGCTTCCTATGGGAGAGAACTACTACAGGAACTCACAAGTGAAGCTGCAGCTGCTTGCCCTACTACTAAAAACAGGGAAAAGATGGGAAAACTAAAACTAAGCCTTGGAAAAGATGGGCAAATTCCAAGCTTAGGTAAGTTTCAGTTTATAAAAAATGTATGATGGTGCAGGTCCAGCACACTTTGCTTGCACGTGGGAAGGTTCCAATCCCATCACTCAGAATGGCCACTTGCAGCACATTTCCTGCTTGGAAATTACTGCTGCAAATCAGAGCCCAAGGCACACTCACCCCTCTCTTGTGGCTGCTGAAACTTTTCCCAACGTTGGTCTGTGCCAGCTCACGGTCCATCTCCTCCATGTACGCCTTGAGACTGCCCACGAGCTCCTCAGGAGACACCTTCTGCTCCTGCCTTCCATTCCCACCATCCAGCTCTTCATCATCCTCATCTGAGAAACCAAACTCCTCCTCCTCATCCACATCATCAGAATCCAGCTCCTCCGAGTCTGCCCCTGCACATGATTTGGTGTCAGTACAATAGCAAAGAAATCAGAGCTGGCATTTGTTTCAAAGAAAGAAGCAATCTCACCTAAAATTCTGTCCAGGGCTTTTGTAAAAGAATCCACATCAAAGGTAACTTGGGATTCATCAGATGACCTGAAACATAAAAATATTTTTAAAGAAATAAAGCTTCTATGCTTGCCTAAGCCTGACACAGGCACAAGCCATATTGATTTCTCTCAAGCCAGGACTGAAGTTGGGACATTTGAATTTAAAAGTCCTCAGAAGTTTGAAGCCTGTGTGGATTAGACATCAAACAGTGAGTGGAAGAATTCTTGGCATAAAAAGAGAAAAATTGTGAAGACCACAAAATCCAACAGAGGGACAGAGAGAAGCTCAGCTTGCAGCACTTGAACCTGCACCAGTGCCAGCGTGGCACCAAGCTGATTTAAAGCAAGTACAGGTTCACTGCTCTGCCTTTGCTTCAGGCCCTGCTCAGCACAGCACCTTCAAACTCTGATTCTCTGCAGCACAGAACCAAGCACAGGGCTGCAGCACAGTGCAACATTCCACACCAGAGCCAAACTCCAGGTGCTACTACCATGGCAGTTCTGCTCCTTCGTGCGTGGACACTTTGGACACAAAAGCCTTCATGCTCTCAGCAACTGTTTCCAAGTCATAGTTTTGCTCCTCCTCATTTGGGGAAGGAAGGGACTCATTTCTTGTCTCCTTCAGCATCTGATCCAGAGCACCTGGTGTCATATCCAGCCAGCTGTCATCTGCAAGGACACAGCACAGATCTGTTACTCTGCACAAGCCTGCTGGCCCACAGGCCCAAACCAGCTGACTGACAGGGCTGCAACCATCCTGCAGCTCAGTTCTGCAGTTCAGCTCTTGTGCTGCTCCTGGGTCACACACAGCAAAGGAGAGAGAGGCTGAGAAGAACTGAGTGCAGATTTCTTGTCACTACTTAAAAACTCTGCTTTGCAGAGCTCAAACTCAGAGAGACCATTCTAGTCACTGAGAAGCCTTTGGCCACTCAGTGGAGGAAGAAAGGCTTACTCTAAACTGGGAGAGCCAATCCAGTGTTTAGTCTTGAGGAAGGCTGGATTTGCTCTCCCTTCACAGCTGTCAGCATTGCCCCTCTCCCCCCACAAATAACCATCTGTAATAGGAATAATTCCCCCATCCAGCTCACCATCCTCTGCAGGAAGACAAGCTGCTTCTCTCTCCAATTCCTTCACATCAATGGGGGTTGTCTGTAGTAGTGCCAGGATTTCATCACCTGGGCTCACTTCATCACAGCTGGAAGAAAAACCAAATTCAATTGACTGAAATGGATTCAATGGGATCACATGCTCTGCATTCAGGGTTTCACTTGAATTCTTCCATTTTCCTTCTGTGCAAACACATCAAAAAAGGAAATGAATCTGGGGAAGTACCAGAGCACTACACAGAGCATTGGCCAAAACAGGACACAGTCAGTCCCTGAAATTCCCAGCTGATGGCTCCAAACCCATTGGTCATGGCTCTTTTCCTTTACATTTCATTTGCCTTGGTAAATATTAAGATTGCCAGATCCCAACCAGCACAGACTAGAAACTCAAAAAAATAACAGTCAAAATATTACGGGCTGGTAAAGCCTCAGATATTTCTGTAGTGATTTCTTTTTTGGATTTGATCTTCCAGAGAAATCCACAGCCAGCTCCTTGAGCAAAGGAGACAGATTACCCTATATTCATTATTCACTGGAACTGCTTTTCAATGAAACTTTTCTACACTTTCTACAGTCAACCAAGCAAAAATTGCTTTGCAGTCACCACTTGGAATCCACTTGGAAGAGCTCAGCATTTCACAAAACCAAGATAAAAGAGTTACTCAAGCCAGAACTTCTCCCAGTGGAGCATTCCAGAGGAATTAGTACTTGTATGTCCTGGCCACAGCTCCCATGTTCAATGTGCAGGGCAGAAAAGGGTTCAGGTGTCTGTAACAAGGACTTCAAAGGACACTTACAGGATTTGTAGGGTAATGACACTCATGAATTTCAAGCAGCTCTCACCTTTCTGGCACTGCAACAGATTGCTGGAAGTGATCTTCTGCCATGTGCAACAGCTCCAGGTACTTGGCTGATCCTTCCATTTCTCCCTATTGAATGCAAGCCACAGGCATGAACCCAAACAATTCTCCCTCCCCTTCCTCCTCACAGTCAGGCTTCCTAAGGGTGACTGTTGGTCACACAGAAATGCTGAGAGAACCAGAACAACTAAAACCTCTTGGCCATGTGCACTTGGAACTCAATACAGCAAAGGGGCACTCCTGTATTTGAAGTATATTAAAGGATATTAACCTAAGAATCTCAATAAAGTTGTCCAATTTTATAACCTTCAAACAAGCAGTCCATTTATGTCCAATTTATTAACTTGAAAAAACTAGTCAAAGGCATCTTAAAAAAAAAAACCCACTGAACCTCACCAAAACTCCAAGAAGTCACAAAACCCACAGACACATAAAAATTCCACTTGCATGGGCCCAGACAGGTCTATGGTGTTATGTATGGATTTTGAAGAATATTGAATTCTAGAGGGGTGGAAATGAAATGTAAACCAGTGAAATCAGTCACACCTCACACAATCACACATGGGGGTTTTCTTCACTCAAGTGTATTTCTCCCCTTGCTTTAGATGAATTAATCAATGCCCATATCTTGCTTTTTTCCTTTTTAATTTCCAAAATAAATTCCTTTCAAAGGGGAACAATCTGCACATGTCCCCTTTAAACACATTAATTCATTTCATACAGAGATAAGGATCCAAGCTCCTTACACCAGTTCAAGGGTTAAAATGTATTTTCCCTGGAATGTTTAAAAGCCACAGACACTGAAATAATCACAGACCTTGAAATAATCCTTCTCCTTCAAGCTCCTGAGGAATCTCTCCCACAGAGGACCGCTTAACACGTTTCTCTTGGCATCAGGAGCCACTTTGCTGCTCTTGGAGCACAACATTTCAAAGCCATGGGCCTGCAGATAAAAGGTGCAACAACAAGAGGTTCTCAAGGTGGGACAGACTTTGCTCACATTTCTGTGGACAAGAAGGCAACCTCCAGACAAGGAGCCATTCCCTGCACATGCATGAGCCAAGGCCAAAATGCCCCAGGAATCATTACCAGCTTCATGCCCAGCTCGTAGGCTCTGTACTGAGGATGAGCTGGGGCGGGCAGGGTGTATCCACTGCGTCTGTCTGGAACAAACTGCTGCTGCACCAGCTGTGCATACAAACACCGAGTGAAAGTCACCTGCAACAGCCAGAGCAGAAACAAACACTCCCTGCAGCGGGACTGGGCTGGGGACAGCCAGCAAACTCCCTCCACGTCACCAGAGTGCCTTTGAAGGCACCCATATTACAGGCAGTGCCTGAGACTGCATTCAAAATACATCTTAGATAGATTTTTCTGATAAATTGCTTTTCAGGCCTTATAAAGTTTGTCCCAAATTGAAATACCCAAGTAAATACGAACTTTTGTCAGTATAAATACATTAGGAAAAACCCTCAGTATTTTGTATTCAGGTTAATAAGGTGTATTTTCAATTAAAATGACATTCAATTAAAAGATTTCAGCAACAGTTTGGAACTGCAGAATTTGACTCTAAAGCTTCTTTTCAGGAGTCTGGTGGTACAACTCTGTAACAAAATGCATCAGATACAACAGTGCTTGGACAGTGCTCATACAACACTTCATAAAAGCTTTCCCAGAGCTGTGAGAGCACAGCTGAGAAGGTGAAAAGCCTGGCAGTGAACAACTGGTTAGGAGCAACTGCTCCCGTTGGCTGGCAGGGCTGGCAAACTGCTCTGATCACACAAGGAGATCAATTTACCCAGCAGGCACTTCAGCAGAGGAACTGCTATCACAACCTCTGGATTCAGAAACAATTCTCTCAGGATCAGCCCCCTGACAGTCCAGCCACACCGATCCAGAGCAGCTCTCAATGCAAGGACCTGGACATTCACGCCTACAGGAGCACCCAGCAGGGCCGTCAGCGGCTCTGAGAGCACTTACCAGGGCCATCACTCGCTGCTCGGCAGGGAAGGTTCTGAACGGGCGCCGGCAGGCCCCCAGGTCGCCCGGCTCCCGCAGGTAGAAGGCCTGGACTGCCGCAGCCACCAGGGACGGGCGCAGCCTCAGCACGGCCGCGATCCCGGCCGGGAGGAAGCAGCGGGCTCGGTGCAGCGAGGCCTGGATCTTCTCGGGATACCTGAGCGCCAACAGAGCGTGGGAGGGCACTGCCAGTTAACCACTCCTTCTTCAGCAGGAGGCCCCTTCCCTTTAATATTTACTGGGATCATGGGTCAGATTACTCTGGAGTTCAAACCTGGCCAATCTAATGCCTAGAATGGCTGTTTCTATCATACACATTTATAGAAGTGTACATGGCTCATAAAATTGAATCCCCCACATGGGTAAGATGAGTCCCTGTGGGCTTAACCAACATACCCAGCTCTCCAGTATTCTTTGCCATATTTGCTGTCAAATCCTTGCAAAAATTAAAGCACAGCGTGGAGCACAGCTGTGACAAGCTGAAGCCCTGACAATTCTGCTGCTTCTACATTTTAGATCAAATCCTCTTGTTCTTCATGCACAGGGCCCCTAAAAGATCACGGAACTTTCAGAGTTTTCAGTCTAAGGAAGATGTGAAGGAAGAGTAACTCTTGTCATTGTCAGGGCTGGAATTACAGCAGTGAACCAGTTTCAGATCCCCACACCACAGCCTACAGGACACTGATCCCCCTCTTTCCAAGAGTGCCACAGAAAAACCTCCAGCTGCTGGTGTCTGAAAAGGAACCAACTTGATCCCATCTGCTGGGGAAACGCTGAAAGCCCAGGGAGCACAGACCCAAACCCCACAGCTGCAGAGGAGCCAAGTGCAGCCCCACGTACCCATGGAGGCGTTTATTGAGCGCAGCTCTGATGGGCTCTGCAGCCAGGAACTCCTTGGCGCGGGTGGATAACAGAGCCAGCGCCTGCGGCACCGTGGCACGGGGAGCAGAGAGGGCCCAGCCCTGCTCCCAAGGCTCCCCCGGCGCAATGATGTGCAGCTCTCCTTTGTAAAAGAACACCTGGCAGGCAGGAATGCTCCCGTCACACAGGGCAGGAGCACTCACACACAGCCATGGAACAGTTCATTGCACACACAAATGCATCTGCTTGAACACTGACAATAGAAAGGACAAATAGAGAACCAATGCAGGAAGCAGCACAGCTTTTCTAAAAAGGTTATTTGAGATGCCAGAGACCACGATCCAACCAGGAAAAATCCCTATTTGAACTGCAACAAATTTCATCAAATATACCTTGTTTCCTTAACAACAATAATATCACGTTTCTCTTCAACTAGAGAAGTGCTTCAGGAGAACCAGCACAGCCTAACTGCTTCAGAACATCCCAGGCATTAAAAAGCAGCATTTCAGGTGCTACAGGCGACCTCTGCTGGTTCCTGATCCTAAGAAAAGCCCTGAATGCAACGTTCTCAACCCCCTCACTCTGTCTGTTCCCTCAAACAAAAGGAAAGTATGAGCCTGACACTCCAGGTACACACTTGCAATCCATTTTGGTGTTGTGTTCCAGCCCTGGTAAGAATCTTGGAGTAGGGGAAAAAGAATTGAACAATTTTTTGCTATGACCAAATTAATGATCTCCATTCTAATCCACTGCCATTAGCAGCCATCCATATCCAGGGGAAGGTGTCTGCTCATTATTTCACCTGGACCAGACAAAGCACTCTGAAATTTCAGAGGCAGTCAGACCACTTGGCTAGAGGTGCAATGTTGCGGTGTGCTCCAATAGTGCAAGAGAAAACTCCAGCTGCTACAGAAAAGGCCACTGGCTCCCCCTTGCCAACTGTACACAAGTTTTACTCACCCTGTTTTCACTGTTGTCAGGATTCAGCCACTTTGGAAGAAAATCAGCTGCTTCTATCAAGAGAAACTCTCCATCGTTGTCATCAATACTGGCCAAGGAGAAATTAGAAATTCAGCAGGAAAAGCCTTGCAGAGCACAACACCACACTTCTGAATCCATGTCTGCTGGGGTTTTTTTTAATATTCATAAACTCATAGAAAGGCTTAGGTTAGAAGGGACCTTAAAGATCAACCTCTGGTTCCAACACCCTTGCCACAGCCAGGCACACCTTCCACGAGCCCAGGCTGCTCCAAGCCCCATCCAACCTGCCCTTGGACGCTTCCAACATGTCTGGGATGGGGAAACACCTCCAAGGATGGGCAATGGTAAGACAGAACCTTCAGAGCACAGGCACTGCCCCTTGGCAGCCCTCCCACTAAAGCAGCTCAGCACCACCCGCCTTACCTGGCTGCCAGCCCCGGGAACTCTCTGGTGATCTCCCGCAGCAGGTACACAATGAACCACTCATCCTCCACGTTATCCCCGAACTCCGTGGTGCCGCCCAAGTGCGCCGGGATCTCGCCTGCACGGGGCACAGACAGGAGAGGCGCCTCAGCAACGCCGTGCCCAGCAACAGATTGTCCACACGGGCTGCGGAGTCTCCCTCACTGCGGATATCCCAGACCCTGCTGACACAATCTTGTGTCCTGTGCTCGGGGATGGCCCGGCTGCAGCAGGGAGGTGGCACCAGATGCCTCACTGGGTTAACCCGTGCTGTGACACCGAGAGTCGGGGAAGCCGCCGGGTCCCCCTCACACGCTCCCGCTTCGAGCCCGCCGGGTCCCCCTCACACGCCGTCAGTTCCCGGACGCCGGATCTCCCTCACACGGCACAGTTCCCCCTCAGACGCTCCTGGTTTCAGGACGCCGGGTTCTCCTCACATCCCAGTTCCCCATCACACACTCCTGGTTTCTGGCCGCCGGGTTCCCCTCATACTCCCGCCCCCGGGTACCCCTCACACGCCCTCGGTTCCTGGCCGCCGGACTCTCCTCAAAAGATCCCGGTTCTCGGCCGCCGTGTGCCCCTCACATGGCCTCGGTTCTCCCTCACTCGTTCCCGGTTCGAACCGGCCGGGTCCCCCTCTCAGGCTCCCGGTTCCCGGCCGCCGGGTCCAGTCAAACGATCCCCGTTCCCCCTCACACGCTTCTGGTTCCCGGCCGCCAGGTTCCCCTCACACCCCCCCCCCCCCCGGTTTCCCTTCACACGCCCTTGATTCCTGGCCACCGGGTCCTCCTCACACGGCCCAGATCCCCCTCACACGCTTCTGGTTCCCGGCCGCCAGCTGTCCCCCTCAAAAGATCCCGGTCTCCGGCCGCCAGCTGTCCTTCACACTTTCCCGGTTGCCCCTCACAAGCTCCCGGTTCCCGGCCGCCGGATCCCCTTCAAACGATCCAACCCCCCCCCCCCCCCCCGCGGTTCCCTCTGAGACGCTCCTCGAGTCCGGCCGCCGGGTTCCCCTCACACTCCCTCGGTCCCCCCTCACACATCGCCGGTTTCCGGCCGCCGGGTCCTCCTCACACCACCCCCCACTCCCGCTTTCCCCTCAAACGCCGTCGGTTCCCGGCCGCCGGATTCCCCTCACAGGCTCCAGGGTTCCCTGCCACCGGATCCCCCTCACGCTCTCCCGCTCCCCGGCCGCCTCCGGGCGCTCCTCCCGCCGTGCCTCCCGGCCCTCTCCCGGCTCACCGCGGCCCGGCACGTAGCGCAGGCGGAACGGCTGCCGCTGCCACACGTAGGCGGCCAGGAGCGGAGCGAAGCGCACCAGGGCCAGCTCAGCGCAGCGCCGCAGCAGCGCCTCGCCGCCCGGGCCCGCCGCCGCCGCCGCGAACAGGCGGTAGCGCACCGCGTCCTCGGGCAGCGCCGGCCGCCGCAGCGCCTCCATCGCGCCGAGGCCCAAAGCGCTCCGCCCCCGGGGAGGAGCGGCGCGATGGCGGCGGCGGGGCGGCGGCGCTGAGGATGATATCGCGATACGCGCGGAAACCGGTGCAGCCGTGAGTGGCCGCCGCTCCCCCGGTGCCCGGCGCGGCCCCGAGCCCCAGCGCGGTCCCGGTCGCGATCCCCCTGCCCCGCTCCCGGGCCTGGCGCCCGCGCTGCCCCCAACACCGAGCAGGGCCCCGGGACGGCCCGGTCACCCCCTGTCCCCGACGGGAGATGGTTCCCGGCATTCCCGGGATATCCCGGATTCCTGAGCACCGGTCCCGGCCGGACACCGGTGGGACAGAACGCGATTAAATCCCTGTAACGGGCTCTTATCCCCTGACCCAAGAGTTGGGTCAGTTCTGACTTACTCGGCTCATTTACTCTTGTTCTATTTAATTTCATTCAATGTAATTAAACTACAGGGATAATGGCGCCATCTCTGCTTTTAGGGAGCTGTACCTCAATTCACAGCATTTTAAGGTTAAGTTTAGCTGATTTTGAAGCCAAGACCTTAAAGTCCATATTTATCCTGGAGTTAATTTTGACACTTGAAACCTAGAGTTTTGGCGAGAAGAATTAGCTTTGTAATAGTAATAAATATCTACACAGTCCTTGAGGAGCTGGAAAGAAAAGCCTATAAATCTTATCGGGAACGCCGAAAATGTTTATTCTTGTGAGGTTTGCCAAGTTCCACTTCTGTTTTTACAGACGAGGACTCCCCAAACATGCCCTGAGGCATCACCCACCGCCAGAGCCGCGGGCTCAGGTGTGCTCAGCCACACCCACGGCTGAAAACCGAGCCTCGACCTCCAGGTACTTGTGGTGGCACATCTGATCCAGCTGTTCTGGCACAGCCGGGCTTCGTTTACTGACACACTCGCTCTGTCATTGTTTATTGTGGGCTGATTTGCTTTCTCTTTGTTTTTGTTTTTGGCTCGGCGTGGGCATTTCAGGGAGTCGGGAATCCGTAAGGGATCCGATGATCATGGGGATGCACGGACTGCGAGTCAGGGTTGTGCTGACACCTCCACAGAAGACAGCTCAGTCTTCTCCTGGGGCTATGACGTGAGTAGAACATAATCATCCAAGCCAAATGGAGCGCAGAAAGACACTTCAAATACCACTGAAAAGACATGTCAGAACAAAAATGATTGGCTCTATCAAAAAGTCATGGTGCTGATTAAAGAAAGAACATCTTTTTTACTGCTTTCCGTCTTTCCATTCAAAACACATAAGGCTCATACTATTCTGTTAGTATTCTTCATTTCCACTAAAAATTTTGGAAATGCAAGTCATTTAGTGCCCGAGTGTATCTATAAATGCTGTCATTGTGGAACTGCAGGCATGGCTGGATGACTTTCAGATACTTGGTGTGAGTTTATCCAACTTCTGCATCCTTGCATGTTTCTCAAAATATGGGAAGCTCCTAAAACATTATTTTCATTTTGAAATGTTTGATTTATTCTCCTTCCACCAAAGTGTGCTGCTGCCTTCTGGGAGGTGAGATGGAGCTGTTCAGATTTACATGATCCCAGAACTGACCCAATTTTCTGTCTACATGTAACAAAGGGCCTGACCACCCCTCAGGTTCAGTGCTTCCCACCAGCCTGCACTGCTTTTTGTGTTGCTGCTGTTGGTGGACACTGGAAGCAACAAATCCTCCATTGCATTAAAATATCACTGACTTTTATCCTTCTTGTTTTCTATTCCTTTAAGCTTAATATAATGATATGGATATTTCAAAATGTTTTAATATTTTTTTCTGCTGTGTCAATGTAAGCTTTTTATGTGGCTGCCATCCATCTTAAGAGCAGGCTGCATCACCTCTGGGAGAAAATAATTTAAAGTTAAAATCTTTTTTCTGCATTCCTGCTAAGCTCTAAACAAATGGTTGTGTGTTCCAATTATATTTTAAAAGATCAATTAAAGAAACCCGTACAAATGCTATTCAGGAGGTATTTTCTTTCCTCTCCAGGAATTTGACAAAGCTGCCACACAACAAGTTCAGCAGATGTTCAGACAAATTGATGAGCTTCTGTATGAGCAGAAAGAGACAGTTCATGTTGAGGGGCTGCGGGAAGAATGCCACCAGTGGTCCTCCAGCTTTCCTCACCTCAGGTATTTTATTCAAGGGCTGGTGCTGCTGCCTTCCCTACAAGGCACACAGTTGCTTTTAAAACAGGGGACAGGGTGGGTTTGTGCAGCTATGCAGTAGCTAGAGATAAAAAGATCACTCTGGTGATGTGCCTGCCTGTCATTAATAAACATCCTCTTACCTCACACGTGGTTCCTTGACGGAGATTTGTTGCCATCTGTGACTGACTTGGCCTTAACAGAGCAGAATTCTCTTAGAAAACTGAAAGTGTCACCAGGAAAACTGCACAGCTTCCCAGGAGAGCTTTTAGGGCTTGCTGCTGTTCTTACACCCTTCAATAACTGCACTGCCAAGGTTTTCTGCTGTGTTTGTCCTTTGCTTTTGCCATGGCAGGGTGGTGGGGAAGCAGGTGGTGCCCCCCACAGATGAAGGCTATGGATGGTACTCGAGCTCCCCCTCGGGCACTTCGGCTCCCTCGGATGTAAGTTCACCACAGGAAAAGGATTCTGATGAGTAAGTACCAGCAGTGAGCCTGGCTCATGCCAGGGTGGAAGGGAAGGTTTGTTCTCTGCTTCCTAGAGTGTGCAGCCTTCCTGTTAGGCTGAGTTTTGAACACAGCACACTCTCTTTTTCCCCTTTTTAACTCAATTTAGTACACTTAGAATAGCAAGAACACATAGTTGTGCTTTTGCTGACTACAGTGAAGTGGCCAGTTAATAGAAATATCTTTGCTGCTGCTGAGTTCTTAAGAATATGTGTGTACTGTAGTTATTAAGAACTATGTGTACTGTTTTGTTATTAATCATCTGTTGAATTTGCCTAGACTTTAAAAAAATACAAAGCACTGTTAGTGCTGCTTTTATTATTTAATGTTTCAAAATGCATTCTAATCAGCTTTGGATATTTTGTCCCTGAAGTTTCAGGTTCCTTAGCAAGAATTAAAAGGTATCCAAACCAAACATTGTTGCTTTAATGAATGGTTTTTTTGGCCTCACTAGTGCTTGGCCTTAACAACCATACTTGTTTCTCAGGTATTTGAGGTGGAATAACAACTCATTTTTATTTCTGCTTTCTGAAAACTGTCACCTGTCCAGATTTAGTGTTGTGGGCAAGAAGGTGCCTCTTTTTGTTGCTCCTGCTCACAAAAAGACCAACCCTTCCAAGCGTCCCACCTTGTGCTCCTCAGAGAGGGGTGAAGGGGAAGAGGAAGTCATTCTCTCCGAAGGCATAGTGGAGGAATTCTTGGCATTTGACCACAGAGATGTGTAGGTATTGAAGATTAAAATACTGTCCTGGGGTTCCTGCAGTTAAGATACACATACTTGATTAATTGATTTAACTTTTCTCTACAGAGCTCTCAAAGGCCTGAGGTTACCTGGGCACTGGGGATTTTCCCAACCTATTTCCTATGACAATTTCTTTCACTAAATTATGTTTAGGAATTTTTTTGATAGCTTTTCACACTGTCCATTTTTGTGCTTGGTTTGAATTATTCATTCCATCCTAAGAGCTTGAGTATTTAATAATATGTGTTGAAACACCATTTATTTTTTATACTATGTCAAATTCACTGCTGTTAGTTATGCAAGAGCACTGTACTGCTTCTGTTTTGGGTGGAATTGTACCTTTCTGGATTTTTTTTTCAGCGGCATTTTTAAGAACTAGAGTGGATTTTATGCTTGTCAAGAAACAATTACAACTATATTTACCTTTTTACCCCTTTACATTATCCAGCCCTACAGTATGAACATATGACCTGGGTAAGGACTCTGGAGGGTGCTGCTAGTTCCTGACTATTTAATTTGTTTTAATAATTAAAGGCACTTATCTGCATGGACCATTAAATTAAAATGGTTATGTTTTTTGGTTTTACCATACTAGAGAGACATTGCTGCAGCAAAAAATATCACTCTCTTATCTTCAGGATTCTGTCCTGTCATTAGATATGGAGCCTAACAAAGTGATGAAGAAATATCACTGTAACAAATAATTCTGATTTTTTTATGTGAATTTGATCTCATGGGTTAATTATTGTTCATGGAGTATGATTTATAATCATTCTGTATAGGGAGACCAGGGTGGGTCAGTCATTTCTCACTGAGGTCAGTGGGAAAACTGAAAGTAAATATAGTTTCTGGTGCAGGTAATGCTTATATTTTTACAGGGAGGAGGAGTTGCATGAGAGGAAAATGGGGCTGTCCTCTGGCAGACGGAAATTGGGGTTTCCTCCTGTCTCTCCCTATTCCTGCATGAAGGATTCCGTGCTCACCTTTGTGTTTGACGATGTGTGGAGTGAAGTGCTGGTCTGCATGGAAGAATTGATCTGCAGGCACTGGGAAGGGTCAGCCTCTGGTAAGGATTCACAGTTAAGGGGCTCAAAAGGGGATTTCAGCTAATTTTGCAAAGGGATATATTTGGGAATGATCTCTTCAGTTGGAATAAAAAGGTTATTCTGCTAACAGTGTGAAACACATCTTCAAAAAACTTAGCAGAGCTTATCATCCAAGGGGACTCTCTCTAAAGAAAAAATTGGTTCATAGCACTGGCTATGAATATGCTAATATTGACAGGAATTCTGTTGCTTTGCACAGATGATGAGAAAAATATCATAGCAGTGGAAACGCTACGAGCAGATGCCAGAAGCCCTTTGCAGCTGGATCCTCTGCCAGCACTGTTACCTCGGGTGCCACACACAAAGATGCCCTCAGTGGCCTCAAATCTGGTAAGGATTTTTAACCAGCTGTTGTGTTTTGTGTGGGGATGAATCACAGTGTTACCTCAGCAGACACAGTGGTTCTGTTTAGGTAAATAACTGATTTGTACTTCGTGTGAGTGCTGGCTATCCTTTCTGACACTTTAGTCATGTTGTTACTCAGTTGGAAGTTTTAATTCCTACTTTCCTCCTTGAAACAGTATTTTATGTCTGTGTATGACGACTGTGTGGTGGCTGTTGATTCAGGATGTAGTTCTTTCCACAGTTTAATGGTGAGATTGAGGAGTGTGCGTGTGGGATCCCATTCTCACAATAATAATTAATTCATCTAGCAAGAAGGGAGAAATTTCTGCAGTTCTAAACCAGGTTTTTTCCCTCAGACACTGAATTTAACTGTATAATCTACTTTAGATGATTTGCATCTGGAGTGGTGAGCACCAAAGTGTTACCTGTTTATTCCATTTTAATTCAGCTATTTCCTTCTTATTTCTTTATCCTTTATTTCTTCCCCCTGCCTATCCCTTGTGTCCCCTTGTTGTGTGTGTAGTGCCCAAAACCCAGAGGTGGCCGCAAAAGCAAAAAGAGGAGAAAAACACCTCAAGTATGTATGGGATTCAAGCTCTGCTATTTTCTACTTGCTCTTCTTATGGTGGGTGGAATATGATGGGTTTTTTTCAGATCAGTCTGTATCTCAGAAAAGGACTTTGCAGATCTGTTCTTGAGATAAAATGTCTATATACATGAAAATTATTTTTGTATTTTCGTAAAGCTTCTGATTATAGTCATTGTTGGAAGATCAGTAAATGAACTAGTCAGTTGGAAAACTTTCTAAGCACTATCATTCAAAAAATTAAATGCTAAGATCCCCTAGCTGGAGAAATATATAACTGAGAAATAATATAACTGAGTATATATCTGGATGTCATGGAAGAAATTAATGACTTTTCTCCAAAGTGATATACAAAGTCTGTAAATATTTGTGTGTGTGTGTGTCTCTGCCAAACAGTAATTTATTTGCTTATTTTGTTTTAATTTCAGGTAAGTCTCTCTCAAGGCTCAAGTAGTAGTTCTCAGCGTAACCTGAATGGCTTGATGGTGATCCATGGGATCCAGTTACACCAAAGGAACCTGCCTGTAGTGGAGAAAACACTGTAAGAACTACAGATCACCTATAGTAAATAAAGTAGAGCACTCTCACAGTGAGAGGGATTTGACCCAAAACCTTGTAAGATAAATTCCTCTGTCAGAGAAAGCAGTTAGTTGTTAGTTATTTTCCTGCTTGGTTATTTATTTGTCCTCTGAAAATTGATGTAGTTACTGTCATAGTAGTGAGCCCCTGATTGGGGAATAATGAGTATTGACTCCATGATTGTAGAGGCTGATTAATTGCTTTATTAAACTATATCACTAAGAAACTGATCATCCTTTTGAGACAGTCCAATACAGACTGGTATTTGGTCAGTGAATCCAAGCACCATCAATAGTGTTCAGTTAAGAAACCACCCTTTGGTAAACAAACTCCATAACACATTACACATCTGCACAACAACAGGTGCAGCAAGTGAAGATAGAATTGTTTCTCATTCTTTTCTCTGAGCTTTCTCACAGCTTCTCAGGAAAATCCTATGAGAGCTGCGTCTCTCTCTGTTCAGAGGATATGTGATTACCACAAGTTCCATTAAAAATCAACACACATAATTTCTGCCCTCATATTTTATTATTAAAGTCACCTGTAGGTGAGCACTTTGCTAACAGCTGTTGTCATGCTGATTTTGGAAGTTTGCAGGCAATCCCGACATGGGAACAGACGAGAATCTTGACTCCATGTTTCAGAACGCTGATTTATTATAATATATATTATATTAAAAGTAAAAGATATATTAAAACTATACTAAAATAATAGAAGAAAGGATTTCATCAGAAGTCTTGAAAGGAAAGAAGTGGAATGATAACAAAATCTTGTGACTGACCAGCAAGTCTGAGAGAGCTGGACTGTGATTGGCCATTAATTAAAAACAACCACATGAGACCAATCACAGATGCACCTGCTGCATTCCACAGCAGCAGATGATTATTGTTTACATTTTGTTTCTGAGGCCTCTCAGCTTTTCAGGAGAAAAAATCCTGGCAAAGGGATTTTTCAGAATATATCATGGCTACAGCTGACCATGTGTCTTTTGGTGTTGTAATTTTGTTGCTGTTGTTGTTAGGGACCTGGAGGACAAGCGGCCAGGTTCGAGCTCCCTCCTCTCCACCCGGGCGTGGCCAAACCGTCCCCTGGAGCTCAGCACCTCGTCCCTGTCCCGCTGCACCAGGAGGAGGAACCCTCCCCCACGGACCCTGCACCCCATCGGGACCCCGCGCTCTGGCGATGACGTCTGCAGGCGCCTGTAGGTCCTCAAAGCAGCACCCGGGTCAGAGAGCAGCCCTGGGCAGGGAGAGGAGCTGCCCCTAAAGCACAGCTCCCCTGAGAGGGCTGAGTTCTTAAACTCAGTGTGCTGCCAGCTGCGATTCAGTGAATCACACACATTCCCATGTTCAGGTAGTTTTGCGGGTGAGCAATAGAGCTCAGTCTGTCCTCTGCAAGCAAAGTGAATGCCACCATCTCCTCCTTGGCATGGCTGTCTCTTTCTGCAGCCTATTTTCAATATAAATTTAAAATTCTGCATATTTTGGAGGTCATACTGCATGTTGTTATCCTAACCCAGACTGGACTATAAAGATGTTCAAATAGGTTATCTGACTGACCAAAGGGCTCCTAGTGAGCCCTCAACCACATCTAGAATAACTTTCTTTTATTTTGCACAATGACCTGACTGAATGGAGTCATTTATAGGGACCACAGGGTATCAGGAAACAATGCAGGATTTGATGGACCTGTCTATTTCACATGTTCTAAATTGATGTAGTTTACTTCTAGTTTTGTTGTTTGTCTATAAATTCATCCAGTTTGTTGCCTTCTTGTCACATATTGAGACTTATTCCTTGTCCCTTCATAAGTGGTGCTTTTCCTTCCAGTATTTTGTGTTTCTGTTCCCTTTCCTCAGGCTTTAGTCAATGTAAGAAATTCTGACATCTCTGCTTTATTAAAATATGTCTAGGTTTGAAAAGACAGGTGTCTAAATGAGGCAGGAGCCTCCCCTGAAATGGAAAATGTAAACCCCTCTTCTCTGAATTGCTATAAATTTTAAATTAAGGGACTCTCAGATAAAAAAATATGGGAGCAGGAAATAACAGTTCTTTAATGGGGAAGAAAATGAAAGGATAAAATAAGCAATGCAGTAAACCAAAACAACACTGACAGAGTCAGAATCCAACCTGACACCCTGTGGGTCAGGGTGTTGGCAGCAGTCCCATTGGAATTGTGGCTGCAGCCCTCCTGGAGTGTCAGAGCTGGTTCTGCTGGAGCAGTGATCCTGTAGAAGGATGTATTCTTCCTCTGAAGATCCAGTGGAAGATGAGGCAGCTGCTGTTCCTCTGGGAAATCCAGTGGAGAAGCCGTGCTGGTGTTCCAGAATCTCCAGATTATATCTAGGTAGCAATGCTTGGCTCCTCCCTCTGGGCCCACATCTCCCAATGGGATGCTGTAGCTCTTATCAGCCATGCAGTGACATTCAATAGCTGTTATCAGCAGATGTCTCTCTGGAAGGAGGAGTGATTGTGAAAGAGATAAGGAAAACTGCCCACTTAACAGAAGACAAGTGCCATACAGATGGCAAATAGAATACAATTTGCTTGACAATCCAGGACAAAATGTATTGTAAAATGTAAGTAGAGAGCATTAGGAGAGTCTTTTTTAGATGGTTTGAAGCTTTTCTAAGGTATTGTTACAGAACAGTCAATTCCAGAAGGCCAAAGAAAAGGACAACATCACACCTTTCCACCTTCCAAACATATTAACTGTGTGTTTCTCTGTTCTTACTGTGCATTCCAGCCTGACTGCACAGGAGCAGCTGACCTCACCCTCCCCACTGCTGCTGAACAGAAATCACCCCCTGCCACCCATTGCCACCACCACAGAGCATGGGAGCACCACAGGATCTCACAGGCAAACGGTAACAGGCACAAGAATCTCATTTTACTACTGGGTAATCTAAAGTTGTTATCACTGCTGGTCAAATTACCCAGCCCAGGAGTTCCAATTTATTTCTTGTTTTGTGACAGAAGGTCAAATAGATAATCAAATAGAAAAATGTTGTATCAGTTTTGAGCAACAGCATCACCCACACTTACCTGCTTAGTTCTAATGCAAATTCAATGTTTCCCTCCTCATAACTGGGTATAAAGTAATTCAATTTGAAAATTAGCTTTAATTCCTGGGTTAATTATTTTTAATGAACTGCTGCACTAAGAAAAAGCCATAACTCTGTTATTTCTCCTTGCAGAAACCTCGAGGGAACTCGAGCCGTGCTCAGAGTGTCACGGCACAAGAGGACACTCACCAGCAGCTCCAGGAGCAGCTGTTCTTACCTGATCCCTTCTCCAGGCCTAGCACAACCAGCACATCCTCGGTAAAGCATGGCTAATTACACCACATCATCCTTAATTACTGAAAAGGGTGCTTTGAGAATTAACATCAATCCATGTCCAGTCTGTTTCAATACTCTCAGTTTAATGACTCCTACTCTACTGGTACCTTCTTGTATCTAACAATGTGTTTTTATCTAAGCTTTGGCAGTTGTAATTTCAGCACAGCTTTTAAACAGCTGCTTGATTGGTTTCTGTGTATAATTTCAATATCCTGGACTCAGCAGTTATAAAATCTGCTTTGGAACAGTGCAATATCCTGAAATGGAAAGACTGCCTCTAACTGGCCCAGTGATCATTCTAAATAAGTGTTAGAAAAGTGCATTTTCTACTTCTAAAGTTGATTTGACCTTTCTTTAAAACTTTTCTTAGACCTTCACAACATGTAACTCATTACCAAATACACGTGTTTAAGTAGTTTTTAGTTGTATTATAATCTTGCTGATGGTTTTTCATGCAAACAGAACTAACTTGAGCTGTTTTTCCAGCCCCATTCCCAGCGCCGCCGTTCTTGCACTGTTATTGATTACACTAATCAATCCTGGACAAGGAGAGCATCCACAAGTTCAGGTATGCCCAGCAGTCACAGGGTTTAGTAAGACCAAACAAAGGAGGTTTTTGGGACAGGGATGCATTTCCTACAGGGGTACATTCCTACAGGTAATTTACACTTTTTCAGAGTTCCATCCATGTCTTTAATTTGCTATTATACAGATGTTATACTTGCTATGTCCTACTGTACTCCAGAGTATAGTTGAGTGCATTTTGTTGGATTTTTTTTGTTTTTATTACCACCAAATACTTAAGTAAGAAAGCTTAATGTCATCAGCCCCAGCACCTCTCATTATCCGAGTTTTCAAAGCAGTTGTCAGCTTAAACAGAAATAGTAACTTGAGGTTAACAAAGGCACTAAAACTGAAGTAACTTGTTTGTAAACGAGCAAGGAGTGGTTCCTACTGAAATTAAATATCTGCCCTCCTCCCCCCCCCCAAAAGAAAAATGCAAGATGAGTTTTATGACTGCTGTATTGACAAAACCAAATTAAATTAGCAAAGCTTTGTAGACACAAATACTCAGTGAAATATCAAGGAATGCAGTCGCTCCCTGCAACGCAGCAACTCTGCAAGCACAAGCTTTGCCCTTTTTGAAAGTTATAAATAATGCAGTTGCTAGCCATGTGTTAGACTAAAAAGAGATTTTAGTTTCAGGCTAGAGGAGGTGTATTTGATACTTAGCTGTAATTCCTTCCCAAAGTCTTGAGGCTGTGCACGATCTCTTGTTTGCCAGGTCTTCCATCCCGTGGCTCTGTGAAAGCCCACGGCCGAAGTGGATCGGGCACAAAGAGCAAACAGAGGCACTGATGTGCCATGGAGGAGCATCCACCCATCCATCCCTCTCCAGAGAGTCATGAACCACCTCTCTTTCCCAGCAAGGTCAACGTTGTTTACACAGAGTTTTCAAACACCCTTCCTTCCAGATAGTTATTTTTATATAAATCTAAGCAGCAGCTGCCAAAGATTAGAAGGGGTGCACTCAAACATTCCATTTCTGACCAGTAGAGAAAGTGATGCTCCAGTGGAAGGGTGAATACATTCCAGTGAAGCCCAGCTCCTGGGAAACCCAGCAAACACTCTCAGGCTGTGCCTGTGCTGTTTGCCATGAGGCTGGTGACAGGTTCATCTCCTTACAGGCACTGCAGGACCTGCTCATTGTTCCCTTAGGAAGGTTAATCCTTCTACAGACATAGTGATTTACATATTTTTTAAAAATGTATTTATATGATTCAATATGTTTAAAGCAATATTGTACTAGCAAAAGCAAGCACTCAGCTTTGGCAGGTGATGAATGCTGTGGCAGCTGCAGCAGGTGTGAACACAGGTGTGCAGAACCAAGGCAGCAGAGCAGGTGACCTGGCAGCTCCAAGGGCAGCACACCACTGCCTCTTGCTGAGTTACAAAAATACCTTTTACCTGTTCCTCAGTGAACAGGCATAAAGAAACTTCCTACTACAAGTAGTTTCAGACAGTACTCAAAATAAAATCTTCCTGGTGAGACATTTTATGGTAATTTCACAGAATAGCTCAGTGTCCCTTTGGAAAAATACCTGTAATTACACAAGATTTCTTCACTCCAAGGTAGAGCTCCAGAAGCCACTGATGCAATGGAGCTTTTAGGAGCTGTGTCTGCCCTGTGGACAGACCTAGCAGAGGCATTTGCTGGAGTTGGCCTTGTGGCTCCAGATAAGACAAATGAAACCATGAAGTACAGGCTTCTCAAAATAAGTGATTAATTGAAGGTCTTACTCCCAAGCAGTAAGTGCCAGACTGAAATGTAAAAACAAGCTGAGGTAACCACTGGCTCTATTTAAACAAAGTTAGGACTCTCCACAAAAAGTTGTTCCTTTCTAGTCCAATGAAAGAGCACTGTTTTCCTGTATTTTCTTATTATTCTTCAAATTACAGTTCAAAATAGAAAAAAACCCTTGTTGTTATTCTTTATGATGTGGCTCCCCTATTTCCCCACTCCAGACCAGCTAATAATTTCTCATCCATACTGAAGCTCTCAAGTGCAGTTGATCCAAACATGCTTTAATCAAAACCAGAGAACTGTGCAAATATTACTGGGTTAACCTGCCTTTGCATTTCCAGAAGTTAAAAAAAAAAAAAAGGAAAAAAAAAAAAACAGCTCTGAGCTCTATCTTAGGTTTTCAGAGAGAGAAGCTGATGCTCACCAGAGACCTCTACTCACTAAAGCACTTCAAAATATTCAAAATCCAATTTCTCTTCTGGAACGCTGTGCAGTGTGTCAGTTATGTCAGGCAAAGTGCAAATAACATCCCATTGGTATCTGTGCCATTCCTCAGGGACTGAGGGAGTTTTCTGTAGCACAAGACTCACAAAAGCAGACAAATAAACTTGAATAGACTTCTGTAAACATGATGTAGTGTTTTACAGCCTAGAGGAGTCAGTGGGTTTAAAAAATGCAGTCGCCTCCTAAGGCCATTTTTGGTTTTTGTACAGATGGCTGACACCAGGGGCTGCTCCTGGACTGTTATTTATTTATTTTGTGTTATAAAAGTAACCTTCAAGCCCTGTGTTATAAACCACAATGATATGCTCTACTTTCTCAGAATCGGGGTTAGTTTTCAGAGCAGACAAGTAAAAGGGAACAGAGAGACCATCTTCCTCTGGCTTCCCCCCAGGAGCTGCTGTTGAACTGTGAGAGCCTTCAGCTCTCAAAATGTTCACCTTGAGACTCCTATACCTTTGAAAAATGATCCTCCCTGGAAGTGTGCAGGATTTGACTGAAATCAGAAGAATCAACACAATTGGCTTGTTTTAAATAACTTTTTTAGAAAACATACAGAGAACTGAGAAAGCAAAACTCTGAAAAAAACCCCACCTTCTAGTTTATTAAATCAGCAATTTTCCAAACTATCTTTACAAAAACTACTGGAATATCTGAAAAAGACCTGTTGAGCTGATGTGCAAAGACCTTTAAAAATAGCAGGAGGTTTGTTACAGAAGAAATGTGTGAACAGCACACATGGATCTCAACTGTAGAGCACCCAAAGGGTTGGGGACAGTGGCACAGGAATGCCTTGTCTTCCTTCTTCAGCATGGATTCCATGTCATGCCTCCCACTTAGAGCCAGTCAATGCACTCAGTCTGAAACAGGGGCCTGGAAAACACCCAAAATTCTCCCAAATCCACGTTTCCACACAAAGGGGAACCTGGTATTTCAGTCTATGCTGTTCCTTCTGCCTTTCTTTTCTTGCCTGAGGTCTTCTTTTCCCCCTTCTTAGCAGTGTTGCCATACTTTGCTTCCAGATGGGAGAAGAAGTTATCCATTTCCTTTTCTCGTTCTTTGCTTCGGCGCTGGGGAGGGGAAAAGAAAACCAACCAAACTCAAAACCTTTTGGAACTTCCCAAACTGCTTATCCCATTAAAATTTGATAGCTACACAAAATCTTGGACTACATCTATTTTAAGACAAGCTACAGGAAGTTTAGTATCATCATTACAACTCCCTGTGAAACAACCTAAAACTGGAAGTTACTCCATAAGTACTCCAAATATTTAACTCTTGGAAATTTTAAAATAGACACAGGTAATAAAATCCATACTGTACTCTGATTCTAATTAAGTTAAAGCACATAGTCAACATCAAGGCCAGGTTTTAACCTCAGGAATTCAGAAGATATGCAAGGATCCAAAATCAAAGATGCTCAGGGAAAACACAATTGTAAGCCAGTTACAAAATTATGTGCAAGAAACAGAAGAAGCCTTACTTTAATCAGTGCTTGCAAGTCATTTTCTCCACCAAGGCCCAGCTCATCTAGAGTCTTTTTTGCCTCTTTAGCTTCTTTTTCTGCCTAAAAGAGCAAATAAGGTTTTTTAAGGAAGTGTTTTGCATGTTATCTGACCGTGTCTTACAGGACTTGCTGAATGCTTTTTGGGCATCTGTGTACAAATAGCTGCAGGGAAGTGCAAAGGGTTTCCAAGTCTGGCCACACATAAAGAATCAGGCAAGGGAAGCCCATTCTGGTTCCGCCATTTAGCAGAGCAGAAAGTTTTTCTGCTCTTTCACAGTGTTGCATGTGATGTTTGTCCCCACCACTGTTCCCACACCCTTTTTTTATTTTATTTTGGTAGATACTACAATAACTTAAAGGTTGCTGTGATTTGCAAATAACATGCTGCAAAGTGTCCAAAAGCATACAGGAGTCCATTTAGGCCAGAGCCAACCAAAACGTGTTTTGGTCACTTGCTTGTTTTTGTTAACTCCAGCAACTCCCAGCTTTGTAGATAAATGCAGGGACATGCTAAACTCTAACAAGACATTGTGTATCATAAGGAAATAAAGAAGTAGAAAAGCCTTTCACAATGATTTGGGTTGGGGGGTGATGACCATGGGTGACCATAAGTTAACACTAAGGTGTGTAACCCAGCAATCCTGTGACAAACATCTTGGGAACAGAGTTACTTATTTCTGCCAAAGGAAAAAGTTCTGCTAAGTAATTGCTGCAACCTACCCGCTTTCTTCTGGACATCATCTTCTGCTTTGACTCCTTTACAAAAGCCTTGTAGGATGGCACCTCCCCAGAGTCGATGGCTCGCTCGATCATCTCCCGTATCCTGGGCTCATCCGTGTAGTCCACGCACAGCACAGACTCCATGATCCGATCCATGTCGCCCTTGAAGTTCATGTACGCTGCCTTCACATCAGCCAGCTCCTCCTCCGAGTTCTTGTAGGTACTCTTGAACTCTTCGATGTCTTTCACGGTGACCTGGAGCAAAGAGGCGATGCTTTGTGACTTACAGGACTTACTCACCAGGAGGATTTAAGAGAAAACACATAAAAACAAAAAGGGGAGGTGTCTCCCAGCGCCGTCCCGCTCTCACCTTGAACAGCAGCTGCCAGTACTCCAGCCAGTCCCGCCCGTCCTGCAGCGCCTCGGCGTCCTCATCCACCATGCCCGTCTCATCGTACACTGCGCGCTGCTTCTCATCGCTCAGCACGGCGTACACCTTGCCCAGGATCTGCGGGACACGGGAGCGGCCGGGAGGTCACTCGGGGAGCGGTCACGCGGGGGTCAGGCACCCAGGGAGCACTGGGGTGGGCACTCGGGGTCGGGGCTGGTCAGCGGGGTGGGCACTCGGGGTCGGGGCTGGTCAGCGGGGTGGGCACTCGGAGTCGGGGCTGGTCAGTGGGGTGGTCATTCAGGGTCTGGGTTGGTCAGCAGGGTGGGCACTCAGGGTCGGGGCTGGTCAGTGGGGTCGGTACTCAGGGTCAGTTGCCCGGGGTTCAGCGGATCAGGGAACCGGTCCCTTCTGGAGTGGAGGGTCGGTCTCACCCGTGGCCGCCACCGCTCCTCTCCCTCCCTCTGTCTCTCCTCCCCTTTCTCCCCCGGTCTCTCCTCACCTGGAAGCGGCGTGTGGCCTCCTCCTTCTGCTCGGCCGGGACGCGGTCGGGGTGCAGGCGCAGCGAGGCTCGGTGGTAGCCGCGGCGGATGTCCTGCTCGGACGCGCCGCGCCGCACGCCCAGCACACCGTACAGGTCCGCCGTACCGAACGCGGCCTCGCACTGCTGCGACAGCGCCATCCCGCCCCGCCAGCACCGCGACCAACGCCCCACCGTCCTTCCCGCCCGCTCCGCGCCCGGGCTGCTGATCCGCGGCTGCGCCGGGCGGGAAGAGCCCGCGGGGGAAGCTGAGGGGCGGTGCCGATGCTGAGGGAAGGCGGGGGGGCGGCCATGATGAGGGCAGGCTGAGGGGAGGCACCGCTGAGGGAAGGCGGGGGGTGGCCATGTTTGGGGGAGGTTGAGGGGAGGTGCTGCTTAGGGGAAGCCGTGGTGATGCGGCGGCGCCGTTGAGGGGAAGCGGCGGCAATACGGCGGCGGCGCCGCTGAGGGGACGCGGGAGGCCGGCCATGTTGAGGGGAGGCTGAGGGGTGGCACTGCTGAGGGGAGGCGGTGTCGGTGCGGCGGCGGCCCCGCTGACGGGAAGCGGTGGTGATGCCATGGCGGCGCCGCTGAGGGGAGGCGGGGAGCCGGCCATGTTGAGGGGAGGATGAGGGGAGGCACAGCTGAAGGGAGGCGGGGGACTGGCCATGTTGAGGGCAGGCAGAGGGGAGGCACCGCTGAGGGGAGGCGGGGGGCTGGACATGTTGAGGGGAGGCTGAGGGGTGGCACTGCTGAGGGGAGGCGGTGTCGGTGCGGCGGCGGCCCCGCTGACGGGAAGCGGTGGTGATGCCATGGCGGCGCCGCTGAGGGGAGGCGGGGAGCCGGCCATGTTGAGGGGAGGATGAGGGGAGGCACAGCTGAAGGGAGGCGGGGGACTGGCCATGTTGAGGAGGGGCTGAGGGGAGGCACAGCAGAGGGGAGGCGGGGGGGAGGCACCACTGAGGGGAGGCGGGGGGCGGGCCATGTTGGAGGCAGCCCGAGCGGCGGCCCCGCTGAGGGGCGGTGGTGGCTGAGCGGCGGCCTCGCCGAGCCGGGTGGCCGCGGCCTCTGCGCCCCTTAGAGAGCTTGTGATGGCGGGGAGCTCTTTGTTTGGTAGCCTCCACGGCCTGCTGGGGTCGGTGGGATCGGGCCGGCAGCGGGGCAGGAGCGGGGCGCACCCGGCCCCTCAGGGCGCCTTGGGGGGGCCTCGCTGCCTCCGTGACGCGCTGGAGCCGCCGCCGAGCGCGGTCTCCTGCCCGCGACCGCCGCGAGTGCTTTGGCCCAGTTAGCGCCGGGAAAATCAATTTTATGATTTTATCCTCCTCGGGTTCCCACATCCCGCCGGTAAACAATCGGCTCTGCTGGCTTTTAGGAGTGGGCAGGCCCTGACACAGTGTACCCAGAGCAGCTGTGGCTGCCCCTGGTTCCCTGAAGTGTCCGAGGCCAGGCTGGACTTTGGGGCTTGGAGCGGCCTGGGACAGTGGAAGGGGGTGGAACTGGGTGGGCTTTAAGGTCCTTTCCCACCCAAACCATTCCATGAATCTTTTGTGGTTCTTTCAGGCCAGGTGAGATGCAGAAAATAAAAAGTTATTACTTTACATTTCTCGTGCTTGTTGTTTGAAATGTGGAACGGTTCGGTCCCAATACCACAGAAGGAACGAACCCCAACAGCAGCGACTTAGATTTACAGACTTCAGATGGTAACATTGTAAAACCTTAATAAAAGTATATAAACATTTAATTTAGAAATCCCCTATAAAAGCTATTTGCAATGCATCGTTTATTTATAAAGCATTATTATAATAAAGTATTATAAAAGGTGTCAAAACCAGGAGAGCTTGGCTGGTGTTTACAGACTGATGAAGTGCTTGTTTTGGAACAGCTCAGCGTAACAATTACAAATACATATTGAAATATAGTATTTTATGGAAATATATTTATTATAAATACATGTCGAAATATAGTATTATCACATATAATGAACATTATCATAATTTACTAGTGTAAATAATCACCTGCAGTGATTATTTCAGTCACTTCTGAGACAACACCCCTCTCTTACCCCATGAGCTCTTCTACTTCTTCGCGGCTTTTCCACGTTTAGTTCCAGCACTGACTGGAGCACTCACACATCAGCCTGAAGACACCACACATCGGGAATATCCGCAATTCCCTGCGGACACCGGGATTTAAACTTCCCGGCGATTCCAGCTCGGTGTGTCAGGCTTCGGGCGCCGCCCACCCGGCAACCGGCGGAGCGCTTTGAGCGGCGCACCCGGAAGTGGCGGGAGCGGGAGGTTCGGCTCGAGCATCTTCGTGATGGCGGCGGCGCCGCTGCGCGTGTGAGTGGGACGGGACGGGATGGGAACGGGGCGGGACACGGGATGAGGTGGCGGTGGGGCCGGGGCTGGACCGGACCGTGCCATGTCGGCCGCTCTTACCGTGCGGTGTCCCGCAGGCTGGCGTGTGGAGACGTGGAGGGGCGGCTGGAGGCGATCTTCGGGCGGGTCCGCGCCATCCAGGCCAAGAGCGGCCGCTTCGATGTAAGGCTCGTGGGGCTTGTGGGGGGGGAGGTGGACGTGGTGCCGTTCCCGCGGGGGTCCCGTTCCCGTCCCGGCACGGCCGAGGCCGGAGCCTGCCCGGGGTGGGGTTTCCATACCCGCGGTGCTCGGGTGGCTGTTGCTGTCCAGTCCCTCCGTGACAGCCATGCTTCTCTTTCTGCTCGGTGTGAGGAAGGGTTTGCAGCCCCCCAGCCCTCCCTGCCCGGCCCCAAACGATTGTGTGGAGCTGTGATCTGTGCACAGAAGGCGGGAGAGCGGCTGCCTGTACTTTTAAACCCCTTAGATGTTGCGTTTAACGCAGATAAACAGAGAGGAATCTCTTCAGTTCAGCAAACCAAGTGCTGCTGAAACGGTGCAAACAAAGCCTTTGTGTGCGTGTTCTGTGTGTGGTGAAATAAACTCCTGCTTTATCTGCTGTTTTTAGATGCTTTTGTGTGTCGGGAATTTCTTTGGCTCCACTTCCGAGGCAGAATGGGCCGAGTACCGCACGGGGGCCAAGAAAGGTGAGGGAGGAGGGCGGTGTCACTCTGTGTCACTGCACGGGGGCTGGCACTGTGCTGTTATAGCAGTTATACTACAGGAGGGAAAGATGGCTCTGGCTGGAACACCCCTGCCTGTAGGACTGTGCATCATTTTGGGGTTAATTTTACACGAGATGTGTGTGGAGGAGCAGGGGTTGTTCCCTTCCTGCAGCTGTGGGAGCTCCAGCTTCACTCTGCAGGAAGGTTTCTTGTGCTGCTGCTGCCAGAGGGTGCTGGGTGGGGTTCCTGGGCAGTGTGGGCTGGGAGCTGCAGTTGAAACTCACTGAGTGCACGGGGTTCTCTCCCTCAGCTCCAATCCCAACCTACGTGCTCGGTGCCAACAGCCCGGACACCCTGAGCTACTTCCCAGACGTCAGTGGCTGTGAGTTGGCTGAGAACATCACCTACCTGGGTAAGGCTGCAGGGGCTTTGGGGTCAGCCTGTGCCTGCTGGGGCTCTCAGGAACCTTCTCTCATCTTCCCACTTTAACACCTCCTTTTTTCTGGGAGTTTTCAGTGGTATTTTTTATCCTGTGGTTCAGACTGGTACAATCTCTGTAAAAAGAAAACTCTTCTTCCTTGATTTGTGATTTTTTTTTTTTTTTTTCATTTCTCTCATACTGCTCATTCTTCTGCTGAGCAGAAGGAGTAGAGGTTGCAACAGCCTGTTCTTTGAAGTAATTTGTAACAGAGCGGGATGTTACAACAGTCCTTTGAATTATTAGAAAGCACTTCTTTTGAATAATTTTCAGTTATTCTTTTGAAATAGAAATGTGTTCAATTTCACAAAAAAGTGCACAATTATCAGGGTTTGTCCCTTGCTTTATCTCACTGCATGTCAATACTTAGAAATAAGGTTGTGCAGCTAAAAGACACTTCTGTTTGTTGGTCCAGTAAAAAAAAATGAAAGAGAGTGTTCTGAAATTTTTTACATTTTTATTCTTCTGTTAAAATTATTTCAACTATGTTTTTGCATTATCTAAATTGATAGATTTCTAAATGTAATACTGCTTTTAAATAAGGATATATTTTTCTTCAGAATTGTTAATTTTCTAAATTCACAGCTCAGCAAATCAGCAGTAACTCCATTTCTGTAATAATGAATTTGTATTTATTATCTTTGGTTTAGGAGAAGTTATTCTAAACTTCTTGCATTCACCTATGTGTAAGATAATATTGTCCTTCCACTCCTGCTTTTCCTTCAATTGAACCTTCTTCTCTGTGACTCAAATATTCATTCAATTTTATTCCAGACTCTTCTACTCCAGAATTCCTTACCTTTCTATTTTTTCTCAGTTTTCTTTATTTCAGAAATTATTTGTTCAGTCAATTCCCTTATTTATTCTTCTTATAGCATGCAGAGCATGCCTGTCTAAATTCACAGCTCAGCAAATCAGCATTAGCTCCAAGCCAATTCTGCCATAATAAATTTGTATTTATTACATTTGGTTTAGGAGAAGTTATTCTAAGCTTCTTGCATTTACCTATGTGTAAGGGAATATTGTCCTTCCACTCCTGCTTTTCCTTTAGTTGAGCCTTCTTCTCTGTGACTCAAATATTCATTCAATTTTATTCCAGACTCTTCTACTCCATCATTCTTTACCTTTCTATTTTTTTCTCATTTTTCTTTATTTCAGAAATTATTTGTCCAGTCAATTCCTTTATTTATTCTTCTTATAGCAGGCCTGTCTTATTCCCAGAGCATGCCTGTCTAAATTCACAGCTCAGCAAATCAGCAGTAGCTCCAAACCAATTCAGTAATAATAAATTTGTATTTATTATCTTTGGTTTAGGAGAAATTATTCTAAACTTCTTGCATTTACCTGTGTGTAAGGGAATATTGTCCTTCCACTCCTGCTTTTCCTTTAGTTGAGCCTTCTTCTCTTTGACTCAAATATTCATTCAATTTTATTCCAGGATCTTCTACTCCCGAACTGTTTACCTTTATATTTTTTCTGAATTTTCTTTATTTCAGAAATTATTTGTTCAGTCAATTCCTTTATTTATTCTTCTTATAGCATGCCTGTCTTATTCCTAGAGCATCTGTCATATTCCCAGAGCATGCCTATCTCTGTAGGGAAGGTTTAAATGTGATTTTGCTGTGTGCTTGTACTGCAGT